GTCCCTGGTTTGTTAGCCGCCCTGAGCACGTTCGCGGGGAGGGCGGGATAAAAATATAATAATAATTTTTTAAATAAATAAATAAAAACAATAAATAAATAATCATAAACAAAAATACAAAATATTCATTGAAGATCCTCCTAAAACATTAGAACATATTAATAAAACATTGGAGCAGAGTTAAATAAAAGCGGGAGCAAGATTATTTATAAAACGGCTTAGCGGCTATATATCCCAATGATGTTCACACTAGCTCAGTGCTCCAACTATTATGCAGCGGTCAGGTGATAAGCCAAGCACAAACTGGAATAAGGATGGCAAAAAAGCCAAGGCACAGGGACACTCCTCAGTGTATCATGTGGCTCCTTCATCGAAGGCCTGGTGGAAGAGCTCCGTCTTACATTATTATAAGCGACAGGATCTTCTGACTTTCGGCTTTTCCTTATCAATACTTGATGTGGCTCCCAACTAGGATTCCAGATTGGCTGAAGTCCTATATGGAATGTCTTCCCTTGGGATGATCCCAGTCCTGGGCATTCTGGCTGTGAACTTTTTGTTGCTGTCCCTTCGCACAGTCGAGTCCGATACTGCTCATAAAACCCTACGTGGCTTGGGACTGGGGGATCTAAATGACCGTCTTCAGCCATACGTTCCTGCCCGAGAATTAAGATCATAGGAAGAGGCCCTCCTGATTGTCCCACCAATCAGAAGAAGAAGAGGAGTAGGAGTAGGAGGAGACTGGATTTATACCCCACCCTTCACTTGGAACCTCAGAGTGGCTTCCAATCTCCTTTCCCTTTCTCTCTGCACAACAGACACCCGGTGAGGTAGGTTGGGCTGAGAGAGCTCTTTTGAGAACTGCTTGAGAGGACAGCCCACTCCCCCCAGCTGAAGTTCACAACTCACTCTCCCAGCTGAAGTTCAAGGTCACCCAGCAGCTGCATGTGGAGGAGGGGGGAATCAAACCCACTTCTCCAGATTAGAGTCTGCCAACCTGAACCACTACACCAAACTGGGCCTTTTTAGTGGCAGCCTCACAAACAGCTTGCCCAGGAAGTTAGCCTGGTTCCTTCTCAGTCTTTAGGACACCGTTGAAGACGGTGTCCAGGGTTGGTGCCACCGCCCCTCACACTTACCCTGGGGGACAGTAAGTCCCACTGAAGGCGTGCTTCACCAGCAAGCAGTAAGATCTTTACTTTTTTGGGGGGTTAATGGCCTAAAGGAGCTGCAGTGGCTCAAGTGGTTAAGACGCTGAACGGCAGGCTGTGGAAGGCCGGTAGTTCAGCAGTTCGAGACCCGAGTGTGCCGCATGACGGAGTGAGCTCCCGTCTCTAGTTCCAGCTCCTGCCAGCCTAGCAGTTCGAAAGCAAGAAATTGCAAGTAGATAAATAGGTACCACTTCGGTGGGAAGGTCACAGCGTTCCGTGCGCCTTGGTGTTTAGTCATGCCGGCCACATGACCACGGAAACGTCTTTGGACAGCGCTGGCTCTTCGGCTTTGAAACGGAGATGAGCACCGCAACCCTAGAGTCGGACTCGACTGGCTTTCGAGCAAGGGAACCTTTATTTTTTAAAGGCCTAGTTGCTTCCGGCTGTTTAAGATCGTTGAACCTTACGAATGTATTGTAGTTCCTGCCTTTTTAATTGTTTTAATTCTATATTTGTTTTCCTTGTTTTTAATGGTTTTGTAACTTTATTGCTGTGACCCGCCCTGAGCCCGCTTGTGGGGAGGGCAGGATATAGATCTAAATAAATAAATAAAGTTGACTGCCAGGTTGCAGTAGGGGCATGGCTTTGACTGAGTCTGTTCAGGAGTCAGCCAGCTTGAAGGAGCCCATCCGGCTCTCAGCCGCATGCTCAGCAGCAGAAGCCGACCCAGCCGAGTTTCTACCAGAGGGAACCCTGAGGGCACTGAGACCCAGCTCTGTCAGGGGAGCAGGGACAGCAGGCAGTACTGACCAATGCTCCCTCTAAGCTGTGGAGTCTCGTGAGCAAGAATTGTACTCTGTGAGCTACCGGCATTAAAGTTGTGAGTGAGCGATTTGGCTACTGCATCAATCAGTTTGCTCTGGAGCCCTCCTTCCTGAGCCGAGACAAAAATGTGTGAGCTGGCAGCTAAAAAACTGTGAGCTAGCTCACACCAACTCAGCTTAGAGGGAACACTGGTACGGACCTTCTTAGAGGAAGTCAGATGGAGCAGCCAGCTCTTTAAAGAAGTTCAGGGAGCTCACTAATCCAAGGCAAGTGTCCATTGGCCCAGGGGCCTGTCACTCCTCAGGACTGGGTTGGGGAGAGAGGATTGGCAGAGCCCAGGGTTGGCCCTCCCTTGGGGAAGCATTTAAAAGGCATACCCAGGAATAGCCAGGGAGGAAGAGTCAGACCCATTCTGTGGCAGGTGGGAATAAGGTACCTAGAAAAGCAGTGTAGGGGAATCAGGTGAAAGGAAACCCCCTCCTCTTGCTCTCTTCTGAGGCTCTATCCTGGGGCACTTGCCCAACAAAAAGCAATCCCGGAGAGTAAGACAGCTCCGGACTCAGACCCAGTTCCAGTGGCTCCTGGCAGATGGTTTTGTTTAGGACTGCCTTTGACTAGTTTTTATAAGGGCTGCGGTGGCTCAGTGGTGAAGATGCCGAGCTGCAGACTGGAAGGTCAGTGGCTCGGCAGTTTGAGACCCGAGTGCTGTGTGACGGAGTGAACTCCTGTCTCTGGTCTCAGCTCCTGCCAACCTAGCAGTTTGAAAGCAAGAAATTGCAAGTTGATAAATAGTTACCGCAAGGGAAATCGAGCAAGGGAAATCTTTACCTTTACCTTTGACTAGTTTTAGTTTTTATTTATTGGAAGTCCTAATTGAGATTTTAAATGGTCGTATTTTATTTATTGTTTATAACTGTTGCTTTATTTACACTGTAAGCCGCCTAGAGTTTTTGCAAAACATTATTATAATAACTGTTTCAATTAAATAAATAACAAAACATTATTATCCCGACTTCTTTGACCCCTGTTTTCCTTGATCTCGCTCCCTTTGCGCCTTACTTGATCTGTTGTTTGAGTCTGCAGGCAATGGCTTTGGATCCCTTTCTTTACCCTGGTGGGTTTCCTGGTTTGGTCAGGTTCCTGACAGCCGCCAGCGAAGAAGTAACAGTTAAATATTTCAGTGACAGTCGGTAGGCAATGAAAGATAAAATGGATTTACTTCTAACGAGAATGGCCTTGGATGAAGATACCCAGCTTATTTTCAGTGTGCAATTGAAGGTGTTTTAATAATGTATTTAATCTTTCTGAGATACAGGGTTTTTATAGTCATAATCATTTTATATCTGAGTGCAGCACTGATAAGTTGAAATCACATTAGTTGTGAGAGACTCCAGGCTTTATGCATGTAATAAAATCTGGCATTCATATTTTGGAAAGGCTTCTAAGTCGGTAATTAGGTCTCTCTCGTAGAGTTGTTGGGTGCTTTATGGTAATACCTGTTGGGCACCAATCCTACCCCACATCCCACTGTGTTGGCCCGACTGAGATTAACATTGTACGGGTCTCCTGCCAACATCCCCTGAGGTTCTGCAACCGTTGATGTGGCCCATCTCTGGTATACGTCTTGAATATATAGTTCTCTATCTCTTCTCCTTCCCCTGCAGATTAAAACAAGATGAAAGGCGTGCATGGGATGAAATCAGTAAAGTCCTTGGTCTCCTGCCAACCTCCCATGTGGTTCTGCAACCGCTGATGTGGCCCATCTCTGGTATACGTCTTGTATAGTTCATCTCTTCTCTTTCTCTTCTCTTTCCCCCTGCAGATTGAAACAAGGTGAAAGGCATGCACGGGATGAAATTAGTAAAGTCCTTGAGAGAGAGCGGGTTGCCTCAAATGAGCATTTGGCCAGAGCCCTTTTTAGAGAGAGATCCGCAAATGAAGAGGAGCGCCTGAAAGCACAGATGTTGGTGAGTGCCACGGAGGGTTTTCAAGACTGTAAAGCTGTGAACAGATATGTTGATCCACAGGAGGTTGAGCATCCATTGGAGATGAAAGGCGGAAGCTATTGGTGTTGCTGGTGAGGGGAAGGTACTTTAGAAGAGTGTCCCCCTTTTATAGCCCACAGTAGTTATAAATAATATCGTTAAATAAAAAAAACCTTGATAAAATAAATAAAAATAAATAGTCGAGGCTCTGCCTTGGTGTGCGCCTTGGCAACATCCTAAGTGTGCAATTAGTGATGTACGTGCAAGATCAGAGGGATTTCATCTTCCTGGTTCCTCAACCTCAGATGTGGTTTTGCGTGAAGATGAAGAAATGGTATCATGTATGACTTCTACTGTTTTGTAGGGAGTTTTGAAAGATGTGCTTATTTATACTTTTTTTTTGGACTGGTATTTAGTGGAATCACTCTCTGTTGGTTTGCTCTTCTCGGTGGTCTGAAATTAATGAATGGTCTGTGACGACGTATTGTCCCATGGACATCTGAGGAGACCTTTCTAAACTTAATTAAGACATTTTGGAAAATTTACTGTTGATATCGAATAGATATATTTATCTGGACATATAGACTGAAATCTGTTAACTGTTCTCTTTTTCTGTGGGATAGTACTGCATCTGTCTCACAAGTTTTCTAAATTATGTTACCAGCTGATTGAGGAGTTTCCCTCTTGTCATTGGGGGATAGTGTAATTCCAACCTTACAAGGCATCTAAAAGCTGTTCACTTGTTGGTTGTAGCACTTTAATTTTGAAAGACTTGCTTTTGTTCTTTTTTGAGTCTGTGCAGTGTTAGCGGTGTAAGATTCCTAAATGCTAATCTGTTGACAGTGGCAGTTGAATTCTGAAGAGATTCTTTTATTCCATTTTATGGGTTGGTATAATAACTGCAAGATTTTAAAATACATTTTTGAGAAGATTTATTTTCTCTTTAGGGATTATCCAAACTATCACTTTGAGACGGTTAACTGCAGTGTATCTCCCCCCCCCCTTCTGTACTTTAAAATGTGCAGTCTTTTTTTTTAAAAGAGAGAAAAAAATCTACATGTTAATATTTGAAAAAGTGATGAACAAATCAGAAGAAGAATCTAGTTTCAAAAAAGTAGGCAAAATCAGGAATAGTGTGGTTAGTAGACGCAGAAACACACCAAGAGAACAAACAAGTCTTTCTGGCTAGACCTTCCAGAAGGAGATAAATGAGAAACCATGTGGGAAAGTAGAAAACAGACTAGAAAATAGGCTTCTGGCCACAGAAAATAGTTTAATAGATTATGACAAAGATTTGGAAACAATGAAATATGTGTGTAAACTCCTGGGCAGAAGGAAATAAGAATTAATAAACTTTCGGCTATGCTCCTGCAGAGTGCAAGGGGTTGGACTAGATGACCTGCAAGGTACCGTCCAACTCTATCATTTTATGAAAGTCAAGAGCAGGAAACAGAAAAGTTGATGAAAGTGTTGACTGCAACAGGGATCAGGAATTTGCATCTAATGTCAGAATTACATAATACTCTGGGTTGAGTGTTGGACTGGATGGGCCATTGGCCTGATCCAACGTTGGCTTCTCTTATGTTCTTATGTAATACGCCTGGGGGAAGAATAATGTAATCATTAAGAGAAATCCTTGAGTATTAATGAAAATATATGCAGCTTTGTTGAATATCTGTTCTCAGGTATGATAGGCTCAGACACTGATTAAATATAGTGCCAACCTTTTATAGAAAAAGATCAGCAATAATTGACGAAGTAGTAAACTGAGAGCTGTGTTGGTTAAACCCTTCAACTTTAAGGCAAAACCATAAATTATGAAGTTTAAGGAAAGAGATCTAGAAGTAAAGATGTGGCTGTACAAACCGCTTCCAGTATTAACCGTTGAATAGCAGCAAAAAAGGAGAGAACTTAAAAGAGGTTTAACAGCACAATTTAGAAAATGGAGAATTAATCATAATAAGGTTTTTCACTTAGAATCGTTAGAATTTTATAAAGAAAAGATTAGGTATTTTTATGAAGAACAATTAGAGTTTCAGAGAAGAACAGAAAGATGGGCAAGAGAAAGGTGTAAAATGGAGGTACAAAGAAAAGAAACAAACTGTTCTAGAACAAGGTGAAGAGACAGATGGATTTGATCCAGATACAGTTGGAAAGTGTGGAGACATGCTGTCCACCCAAGAATTCCCTCCAATTTCTTTCCTGCGAAGAAAGCTACTGCAAACTTAGGATGCATTAACAGAAGCATTGTGTCCACAGATCACGGGTGGTGGTAGTTCCGCTCTGTTCTGCTATGGTCAGGCCTCACCTGAGGTACTGTGTCCAGTTTTGGGCACCACATTTTAGGAAGGGTATTGACAAGCTCGAGTGTGTCCAGAAGAGGGCAAGCGGGATGGTGAGAGGGTTGGAATCCAAGTCTTAGAAGGAAAGGCTGAAAGAAGAAGAGATTGGATTTATATCCCGCCCTTCACTTGGAGTCTAAGAGCGGCTTACAAACTCCTTTCCCTTCCCCTCCCCACAACAGACACCCTGTGAGGTAGGTGGGGCTGAGAGAACTCTGACAGAGACTGCTCTTTCAGGAACAGCTGTGCCAGAGCTTGTGACTGACCCAAGGTCACATCAGCAGGTGCAAGTGGAGGAGTGGGGAATCAAACCCGGTTCTCCTAGATTAGAGTCCGCACACTTAACCACTACACCAAACTGGCTCTCAAGAGTTGGGTATGTTTAGCCTGGGAAAGAGAAGGCTTAGAGAGGACACGATTGCAGTCTTCAAGTACTTGAAGGGTTGTCATGTAGAAGATGGAGCAGATCTATTCTCTCTTGCTCCGGATTGGAAGACTAGATCTAATGGGTGGAAATTACAAGGGAGTCGATACCAGCTAAATATCAGGAGAAACTTCCTAACTGTGAGAGTGGTTGAGCAGTGGGACAGACTGCCTTGGGAGGTGGCAGGTGCTCCTTGGCTG